ACGACCGGTGAGGAAAGCTGGAGGTGACCCTTCTAGGAATCAGGACAGACCCGATGACTCAGCAAAGTTTGTCCCTTTGTCTCCTCTGCAGGAGAAGAAGTATAAATCTGCCACCTGGTGTAGGAGAGCTGGGAGAGGGATGTCTGCCTTCTGAGTCAGCCTGGGAGCTTGAAGACCAAGAGAAGTCTGAAGCAGAGTCCCCGGCAGGGAGGCTGCAGTCAGCCCTCTGAGTCACCCTGGCCTGGCTGCGGAGCTGGGTCTGGAATGTCTGCGGTGGCCCTGGGGCTGCGGAGGGGGTGGTGAGTCACCACGGGGAGAGGGTAGAGCCAGCAAGCCCCACAGGCTTTTCTGCGGTTCCAGTTCTCATCCTGGGGCCTGGGTCCAGAAGTCATGGAGGGTCTGGAAAGCAGGACCCTGGGGTGTCTGGCAAGCATACGTCCATTGTCCCATCCTGCACTGATGGTCTGGCTTCCATGTATCCTAGACACCCCTCGCGCACCCCAGCTCTCTCCACCTGTCTGGGCCACTGGCCTTTGTATCCAGGCTTCCTCTTGCTTTCCCATCCCCTGTGACCTCCCTGACCCCTCACATCCTGGAAATTCTCCCCAGTGGGCTGAGGGTCTGCCCAAGCCCCCTTCCTGTTTCCACCCCTGCACACCAGGGCATCAGGCTGGTGGAATTGCCAGTAGAGTTATTGAACTATTTTTTTTTTAAAGATTTATTTATTTATTTATTTGACAGACAGAGATCACAAGTAGGCAGAGAGGCAGGCAGAGACAGAGAGAGAGGGAAGCAGGCTCCCCTGATGTGGGGCTTGATCCCAGGACTGTGGGATCATGACCTGAGCCGAAGGCAGAGGCTTTAACCCACTGAGCCACCCAGGCGCCCCTGAACTATTTTTTTTTAAAGATTTTATTTATTTATTTGACAGAGAGAGATCACAAGTAGGCAGAGAGGCAGACAGAGAGAGAGAAAGAGAGGGAACCAGGCCCTCTGCTGAGCAGAGAGCCTGAAGTGGGACTCGATCCCAGAACCCCGGGATCATGACCTGAGTGGAAGGCAGAGGCTTAACCCACTGAGCCACCCAGGCGCCCTACTGAACTATTTTGATCAAGGGCAGCAGGCCCTTCCAATCCCTAGAAACTTCAGAAGGACATCTTTTCCATTCCCCAGCTTCCCGATATGCTCTAGGGGTGGGGGCTGTGGGCTCCCCTGGGCTTCTGGCAATTTCTCTGATCCCCTCCCCAGATTCTCCCCACAGTCCTTCCTCCCCCAGGGCCCAGGCTACATTCTCCCTAGTGTGTCCACTGCAGGGTGTGAGAGCCAAAGATCAAAGGGACACAGGTTGAGGGCTGCAGAGAGGTCCCCTCCAAGGGGGTGTGTCTGAGAATTTGAGGCACAATTGGCCTTCAGAGTAGCCTGCCCCCAAAACAAATCCCCAGGGCATGAGGCAGGCACTCAGAGATGCAGGGACCCATTCTAGAACCTTCCTTGACTCTGGTTTGGCATTAGACTTAGGGGTTCCAGGGAATGGTGTCCACCCTGCTTGGGGTGCCCAGGTTTTGACACAAACCCTTTTGAGCCCATTAACTGTGGCTCAACAGGAAGCAGGATCCCAAGCGCCCCCACATCCCATTCGGAGACCAAATCTGAAATGACATGTAATCACTGCCCGTGGATAGCCGGGAGATGGAATTTGGAGAGCTCGCCCGGAGAGAAGTTTTTCCTAGATTGTGTAAAATGGGTGGTGGGTGGGCGAGGTTTCTAGGAAGCAGAAATTAATTGCGCCCCCCCCTGCCCCCCCGGTCCACTAACCTCTCATCCCACACAAGCACTTAATTTCATGCTGGAGCTGCTTCCTGACCACCGTTTACCTGGAAAGGAAAGTGGCCTTTATTAGATCCTGGAGCTCATAAGCAGATCATGAGCTTGGTTGTTGATGGTTCAAAGTACTACGGTGAGTGGAGAAGGAAGGGCCCAGGAAGGAGGCTTTGGAGGTCTTGGAGGTCGTGGAGGTCTCCCCTGCTCCTTCTAAACCCAGCCCTGAGTACAGAGGCATATACAAGCACTTGGAGAAAGGCAGAGGTGGTATTTGGAGGAGTTTCCCTTCTTCTTTTTTTTTTTTTTTTTAAAGATTTATTTATTTGTTTGACAGATAGAAATCACAAGTAGGCAGAGAGGCAGGCAGAGAGAGAGGAGGAAGCAGGCTCCCCGCTGAGCAGAGAGCCCGATGCGGGGCTTGATCCCAGAACCCTGGGATCATGACCCGAGCAGAAAGCAGAGGCTTTAACCCACTGAGCCACCCAGGCGCCCCTGGAGGAATTTCCCTTCTAAGGGGCAGACATGGGCCATAGCTTCAGGAAGTTTCGTAGGACGGGGAACAGATAGCCCTGGCTGGGCTCCTGATCTCAGAGAGCCCCAGTCTGATGGGGGAGACAAAGCCCCAGCAATGGAGAGCCCTCAGTCCAAAAGGCACAGAATGACCTCACGGTCCCCCAGTCTGATGGCAGAGACAGGTCCACACTGGGTGTCATAAATCTTTACAGATAGAATTGCAGCTGCCCACATTCCTTCAAGTTCCGAAGGGGTGAGTGTACCTCTTTCCCCCACTCTGTCCTGCCCCTGTGCCGAAAGGCAGCTTGACTGCAAGTTTCCAGTTCCCAGCTACCCCAGGAAGTCCCCATCCTTCATGGTCCCTCAACCCTCTCACTCTCCAGTCCTTTCTGTAGCCAGCAGGGACACTCCCTTAGATTTCGTAGCAGGGACATTGCTTCACTGCCAGAGCTGTGGGTCACTATCCAAAACTGGGGTTCCAATGACTGCCCCACTGTCTTGGACCCAGGGGTAGCCTATTGCCTGTGGGAGCGGTCCTACCCCAGCTAGTGCCACCTGACCTAAGTCTCCCCTCACCCAGGGCACCCTTTCTGAGGACACCTGGAAAGGAGGTGGGGTTAAAAGAATACGGGGGTCCCGTGCTGAGAAGCGAGGAGGGAGGAGAAGGAAGGGGACGCTTAAGGTGGCCTGCCCCCCACTCCCGGCAACTGGAGATACCCAAATGTTAATCATCGATTAGCCCAGTTCAGGTGGAAAGGGCAACTTTATTATGCGTAAAATGGACTTAATGTGGCAGGAGCTGTGGACCTAATTTCTTGAGATAAGATGCTTTTAGGCTAATCAGCAGGTCTGTGATGCCTGGATATAAAGGAGATGTGGGAGACTTTCTTGAGACAGGCTCCAAAGGACCAGAAGGTAGGAGGAAGAAACCCTTGCCCTGTCCTTCTGGAAGAGTCGGGAAGAAAGCCAGGTGAGCGAGCATCCGGGATGGAGGGTGGGTGGACGGGATACTGGACAGGCAGCAGGTCTCAGCACCCAGAGATGCTCACCATCCTTGCCTCTCACTTTCTTTTCCTCTACCTGAGAAATAAGGCGGCTCTCAGGATTCCTGTAACACCCACGTGACAAAGGCAGGAGGACGAGCGAGATCTGGCCCCTTTTCCTCCCGGGGGTGTTCAGTAGGGGTGAAGAGCAGTAAAGAGCCTTCCTCCCAAGCCCTGAAAACAAAAGCTAGACCTAGACATGTTTGGGCACCCCGGGAAGAGCTTCCTGGAGTAGAGAGAGTGAAGCCTAAGAAGGAGAGGATGGAATGGTCCTACTTGTGGCTTTCACTTGGGGCAAGAGGGCTATGATGGTTTAGGTGACTTCCCAGTCCAAACAGCTAGAAGGCGGGCTGCTATGGACTCTGGAGGCTGTAAGGGGAGACCCACCAAACCACATACATGTGAGGTCCAGCCGCCAGAGCTGGGCAGGGGGCTGTCAGGCACATGGGTCTGGGCTGCTTTCTTCTGCCTGGACCTTGCCCCCCATGCCCTCATCCAGAGCTCAGTGTCCCTCGCTTGCAGAACCCACACGGGCCCTGAGGCGTCAGCAGGACACAGCCGGCCCTGCTGACTATTCCTGAGCAGGTCCTGCCCTCATCCTGGTCCCTCTTCTCTCTTTGCTCAGGAAATCACCCTTGGAAGATGGTGGCTGTAAAGGTCTTCAGTCTGCTGCTGGGGTCCCTGCTCCTGGCAGTGGTGCTCGGAGAGAAGGCAGGTGGTCACTCCAGGTAGGGTTGCAGGGGAGGGGTCCAGCGCAGAGGAGGAAGCTGGGGAGAATGACCCAGTTCTGGTTTTCGGGGGCGGGGGGATGTGGGAAAGGGAAGAATCCCCAAGCCAAGAGGAAAGAAGCCAGAGGGGAAACCTTGCCAACAGTCCGGGTAGAGAGTGTGCACTGAACCCAGGAGTTTTTATAATGAGCTACTGTTGCCACAGAAAAGACTGTGGTTAGATCTCTGGAAGGACTTCTCGGTGGTTAAAGGTGTGAAGTAGATGACAGCGTCTCCCTTCCTAATGGAAGCCTTGACCATTCGCTTACGTGTGCATTTGATCAAATTGTGCAGGGCCCCCTGCGCACCAGCCACAGAATATATATTAGGGCTGAGGGGTCCCCAAATGCCTCCTGGGAACCACCTAGGGGAGTTACCAAGTGTCTTGAGCACTTCTGGTGGGGGGGGGGGGGCGGAGCAGAGTGTCACGAGCCCATGGAGCAGGGGGCTGTGTGCTCTGGAGGACCGAGAGAGACACATCTGAGTGGAGAGCTGTGCCTTGTCAGATGCAAGGGCTGGTCACAGGGCCTGTCCAGGCAGCTGTGTAGACGGGAGGCACGGCCATTGGACAGGTACAAGGAGGGACAACATGGCGTGGAGCTTGTGAACTTAGACCTGGACCCAGCTGGCCTGAGGCTAAATCCTGGATCTGCCCCCTAAGAGATGTGCTAGAAAATCTCTTCGCCCTTTGGTTTCCTCATTCCCAAAAAGGGTGTAGAAATAGTGTCTACCTCGTAGAGGAGATGAGGATCAAATGAGTCTGTGTAGTAAAGGCCTTCCAGAGGACCGGCCCCACAGTGAGGGCTGTAACCGAAGAGCTCACTCTTGTTCCTAGCAACCGGGAACAAAGCCTTGAATGGGCAGGGGTGAGGTGGGGTGGGGTGGGGTGGGGTGGGGTGAAGTGGGGTGGGGAGCGGAGCAGGCGAGAAGAGTGAAGGACGGAACTGAGGTCAGTCCTCTTCCCTGATCCCTCTTTGCCCCAAGCCAGAGTCGCACACACTGAGGCTGCCGGAAATGGGTTCTTGAGCTTGAGGATAAAGTCCCAGGGGCCTGATGCCTAGACAAGAGGGGATCTCCATAAAAATGGACTCCCAGGAAAGGGAGGGTTTGTTCTCAAACACAGGCCTCCTGTGAGTGAGCATCGTCTGGCCCTGCCTCCTGATTCCCCTCACCTCCTGCCCCTCCTGTGGTGTCCAGGCTTCTAGCTCTCTCCTCCCTCTGCCCCTCAGAGTCCACGCGAAGGTCAGTGGCTTCCGACCTCGAGGCCCCAGGTATGCCGAGGGGACTTTCATCAGCGACTACAGTATCGCCATGGACAAGATCCGCCAGCAAGACTTTGTGAACTGGCTGCTGGCGCAGAAGGGGAAGAAGAACGAGTGAGTCGAAGCCCACGCTCCTTCCTGTGCCTGGGGCTGGCTGCACCTTCCTTCGAGGGTGCCACGTGGGCCACATGGGCTGGTGACTCACGACTCCATGTGGTGCCTTTCACTGAGGCACCAACGGGGAGCTGGGCGACACGGTGGCCCTGACCTGTCCAGTCTGGGGGGTTGGGACCCAGGCAACTTTCCACTCCTTTCCTTCTAAGGAGAGGGATCAGGGAAGAGGTAGGGGCTCCCGGAGGATCCCCACGGGGTTGCAGGCGAAAGCAGAGGGAGCAGAGCCACCTGGGACTTGGTCCTTCTTCCTTCTCTTGGCCCAGTCTCTTACCTCGTCCTGGCTGCTCGGTCGGCCTGGTGAGCAGCTGAGCCGAGAAAGAGGTTTGCTTGGCAACTTGGGTTAAGGTCCCAAAAGATTGGAGGCTTTGGACTGGGGAACATCTGGAGCCTCCCAGCCCCACCCACTCCCACATCTTTACCCTACCAGCTGGAAACACAACATCACCCAGAGGGAGGCTGGGGCCCTGGAGCTGGCCCATCAATCTGACAGGAAGGAGGAGGAGAGGGAGCAGCAGGGGTGAGTCTGCCCACAGGGGAAGGGGGGGGGCAGGGCCTCATTGTTCCCTCTCCCAGACCCCAGAGTGGGTCAGGGCCCCAGATAAGCATCCCCTTCCACTCCTGGTTCAGAAAGGGGTCTTGGGGAAACTCCTGGAGGCCAGCCTGAGCTTAAGGGAGAAGCAGAGGAGGAATAGGGGCTGGGGTCCTAGGAGGGGTTTGGGATCAGAGTCCCTAAGATTGATGACTTGGTGTGCAGAATCACAGAGTCAAGGAGAGCAGCAAAAGAGACCTCAGGGGGACGTCAGGAACTGGCTTCCCTACTTCTCCTCGATAGACCTCAGGAAGGCTGTTTGAGGAACAGGGACCCTTTCAAGGGCAGTCCCTTGACATCAGTGATCCCCTCTGGGGAAGCTGAGCCATCTGTGGACATTCTAAAGAGTGACTGTCCCCAAAGTAATCTCCTGGGTTTGGGGGATGCATTCGGGGATGCTCCCAGAGGTGGGTGAGTGGGGTGCCTCTTACACTGAAGAACCCCTATTCCTGGGCCCACAGGTCAGGGTGGAGCTTTGAAAGCTGAGATAAGGAGAGGCAGCTGTGTTGACTCCCTCCCTGGACCCCAGCCACCCCTGAGAGTCCCAAGCCCTGTATTTACTCACTCTGGGTGGAGCCCAGGCTCAAACAGCCCAGCCCAGCTGAGGCTTTCTCCTTGGCAGCTCCCTCCCCAGGAACCCCAGTGATGAAGATTTGCTCAGGGATTTACTGATGCGAGAGCTGCTGGCCTGGATGGTGGATCAGATGGAAGTCTGCAGGCGCAGGTGGGCTGTCTGGTGGCTTCGGGCGTCTCGTGCCTCGCTTACAACTTGAGCTTTGGGGCCAGACATGGGTTCGGATCGGCCCCCCAGGACGTGCTAGCAAACCAACAAGGCTCCCTGAACCTCAGTGTTCTCAAGAAAACAAGGTTTATTCAGACCACTTCTGTGGGATTGTTGTCAGGTTTAAATAAGATCATCGGAGGAAAGAGCTGAGAGCAACATGGTGGGAGGAAGAATTCAGTGATGTTGGCTGCTGTTGTTACTTCTGGGTCTCCACCTTATGTGGGTGAGAGGCTGCGCTCCCCTCCCCTGAACACCTGAGCCAAACTGCCCATCTGTTCTCAGCTCACCCTCTGTACCCTTGTCCCATGGCCCCTGGAGGTGGAGGCATGTTGCCCCTGTCTGTAGCCATTGTTGGTCTCATTGGTTCTGGAACCCATCCCGCCAGCTAGGAGGTCCTTTAATCTGTTATGTCCCAGAAGCAAGGGGTGGCCAAATGCCATGAAGGAGCCCATCTACCTAAGGGCTGAGACGGGCCCCTCATTCAAGATGCAGACACCGAGGCTTGGAAACCAGAACACATTTCAGGCTTTGATGCTGGCGAGCTAGGGAGGCATGGAGGGAGTAGATCTGGGATGGCTTCTGGTAGAGGTCAGGAAAGGAGCAATGGAGGAGAGTATGAGAAATTCTCCATAGGGAGGTGGTTGCTTTTTGGAATCATTTTGATTACTTATAATTAAAAAGGTCATTGAACCTTGGCTGGGGACCAGGATGAATTAATTTGCTGACTCTGAGTAGATAGTGACCCTCCTCTCCAACCACTCTTCCTTCCACTCTCCCCAGATTTCAGTGACTCAGACCAAACCCAGATCGGGCCTGGACTCTGCCCTTCGCTCACTCAGGACTCAGCCCCACTCCAGGGTACCCAAGAGAAGCCAAACCAATAAAGTTTAAGCTGAAATAAATCTTTGTCGTCATTGTCAAAACTTACTCAAATGTCTGCTTGAGCACTGTCAACGTTTGTCTGTCTGTGGGCGTGTGCCACCCAATGAAAAGGAGATACAGTTCCCGCCTGCATCTGTAATTCGTCTGTTTACTCTCCAAATACCAGTAGAGGTAGGGGCTGTGCTAACTGCTGGGAACACAGCAATCATGGAAATGGGCACAGTCCCTGTCCCCGAGGAATTTATAGACCTGTGATGGATACAGACCTTAATCTTAAACACACACACACATTAATAATCATGTAACATGCTGGGGCGCCTGGGTGGCTCCATCGGTTAAGCCTTCAAATCTTGATTTTGGCTCAGGTCAAGATCTCAGGGTCATTAGATCAAGCCCTGCCTCCAGTTCTGCACTGGGCTTGGAGCCTGCTTAAGATTCTCTCTCTCCTCCCTCGACTCCTCCCTCCCTCCCTTTCTAAAAAAAAATAATAACAATAATTGCGCCACACGCAAAGCTATGTGAAGAAAGACAAGAGTGCTATGAGAACAGAGCAGCCTCGTCTAAATGGAGTAGGGAGTCTCAGGGCCTCTTTGAGTTACATTCAAGCTGAGTGCAATGGTGAGGATGAGAAGGCCAAAGGATGAGGAGAGCCTTAATAAACATTACCTCGGGACACCTGGGTGGCTCAGTAGGTTAATCCACTGCCTTCGGCTCAGGTCATGATCCCAGAATCCTGGGATCGAGTCCCACATGGGGCTCCTTGCTTGGCTGGGAGCCTGTTCTCCCTCTGCCTCTGCCTGCCTCTCCCACTGCATGTGCTCACTTTCTCTCTCTCTCTCTCTCTGACAAACAAATAAATAAAATCTTAAAAAAAACAAACAAACAAAAAAAAAACATTACCTCAATGTTATTCATACAAAGGGACGCCCCCCCACCCCCGCCGCCGACAATGGGGAGATTAGCATAATCAGGCTGGACTGGAGGGCAGAGAAAGGGTCTTAAAGGCCATGTTAAAACTTCTCAGATTTTATCCTCAGAGCAGGGGCAGGTCCTGAAGGATTTTGAGCAGGGGCAGGTTTGAAGAGTTATTTTCATTTCCTAACCGTCATGAGTAGGATTACATACCAAGATGAACTAGGATGGCAATGAGAAACAAAGACCAGTTAAGAGAACCCTTTTTTGCAGGATTCCAGGCTTATCCTGGGATGGTGGGAGGGGCGAGTGAAGGGAAAGAGCCTAACTCAGTTTGTCCAAAAATCAATACCTTTGGGACGCCTGGGTGGCTCAGTTGGTTAAGCAGCTGCCTTCAGCTCAGGTCATGATCTCAGTGTCCTGGGATCGAGTCTCACATCAGGCTCCTTGCTGGGCAGGGAGCCTGCTTCTCCCTCTGCCTCTGCCTGCCACTCTGTCTGCCTGTGCTCGCTCTCGCTCCTCTCTCTCTTGACAAATAAATAAATAAAATCTTAAAAAAAAAAAAAAATCAATACCTTTATCTGCCAGTGTTCAAACCAATGGCTGGTATCCGCGGAAGGCAGGCCTGTCTCCTCCCCCTTCACTTGGGCTATCTCCCCTGGAATGTCCTCTCTCCCCTTGATCTTGTCACATTTTAGTAGACACGAGTCAAACACACCTTGATTCAAAGACTCAAATTGCTTATTAGGTCTGTGACTTGGCAATTTAGTTCCTCTCTCTGAGCCTGTTTCCTGTCTGTGAAAAAAAGATTCGGAAGTACCTGACTCTCAGGGCTGAAGTATTAATTAAGATAGTGCCTGACACAAAGTAAATGGTCAGTAAGTTAACTTTGATTATCATTTACCCACCTAAACCTCAATTTAAAAATACAAGGATATTCGTTTTCAATCAGGGAGTGGCAAGCTGGATTGGCTGAAGGGCTGGGCCTGTGGCATAATTGAGTGGAGTGGGGAGGGGGTAAGACAATGGGAAGGATGGGGACTGTGAAAATGGAAGAGACACGCTTTCTGCTGACCAAACAAAACACTTTTGAGAACTGAATTTGCCCAAGGGTTGCCGGTGTGCCGTCTCCTCCAGCTCTGACATTTTAGGTTTTCTTTCCTCTAAACTCCTTGAGTTTGGAGAGTGTGTACCACACAATTAAGGCCTTTACTCAGAAGATATAGTTTAGTGAATCTCTATGGTAGAATCGGCTGTCTTTAAAAAAAAAAAAAAAAAAAAGAACCCCACGTTGTCTTGGGGAGAAGTTGGATCTCTATTTCTGGAGCCTTGGGTATCTTTGGGGGTGAGCGAATCAGAAAGGGTTATTTAGAATACATTTGTACAATGTCCTTATTACGGGCCAGGCATTATGCTCAGCTCTCTATAAACCTCATTTAAAGCCTCATCACAGCACGTTTAAGATAGTAACCTACTAGCTGTTAACGATGCACTACACTGCCTCCATGAGGTAGAGAATTAAAGTCCCTTGCTCTTCAGCCACTCTGTGGCTAAGGCCAGTGAGTCACTTAAAGCAAGTGACAGCATGTGCGATGGTCGGCATTCAGGGTATACTGGAGCGGAGCACTTCTGAGAGCCATTGTGCAATTGTCAGGCATTTTGTGAGCAGGTTGTAAAATCATTGTTACCTTGAAATCGGCCATGGCCAGAGTACACTGTGAAAATTGACAAATGCTGTAAATCAGAGCTCCTCCTTCCCAGCCTGGAGAGGTTGTTGTTAAACATTTACCAGCACATTACTGGTCAACATACTTTCTCTAAAATCATGAAAGAGAACAAAGGCGTCTGAATAAGGGAAGGAGTGCGTCTGCTTGAGTGTGGTAACCAGGTGTGTCTCCGGCCAAAGTTTGCACCTACGAGAGTGAGTGTGTGTGCTTTTGAGGGTATGAATAAATTTTAAGAAAGGAGTGTGAGTGAGGGATCAGTGCATGTATCTTAAGGGGTTATACCGTGTGAGTCAAATAGTGAGAAATGAGGCAGGTGTGTCTGTGTGTGTCAGTGAATCAGGAAAAGATCAAATTTTTGTGTTAGGAGTGGTGTAGTAAGAATATGAGAATAGGAGGTAAATGTGTGTATGTAAGGGGCTACATGTTGTTTTGCAGAAAGGCATGGGTAGGTATATTGAAGGTCAGTGTTTTAAGAGATGGCTAGTACGTGTTGGAAGAGCAAATCTGTGTCTGGGGAAGTTGGTTTCTAAGGGGACTTAGACTATCTATAGAACTCAGTGTCTAAATGTATGTCTGAGGATGAATCTGAAATTTGGTCCTTACACCCACTAACACTAGATTCTGCTTCAAATAACAGAAAAACACCTGGGTTTGGGTAACCAACAGTGGCTTTGGTAAGACAGAACATTATTTCTCTTTCTTGTAAGCATCCAGAAGCAGGCAGTTCAAGGCTGGTGTGATCGCTCTGCTCCATGAAATCCTCAGGTCAGGGACCTGAGCCTTGGCTCCGTAATCCCTCAGGGTCGAAAGTGGTGGCTAAATATCCTGTCATCAATCTCCGCTCACGTCCTCTTCTAACCCTTTTACTTGAAACTTCTGGTAACATTTTTTTTAAAAGATTTTATTTATTTATTTGACAGACAGAGATCATAAGTAGGCAGAGAGGCAGGCAGAGAGAGAGGAGGGGGGGGGAAGCAGGCTCCCCGCTGAGCAGAGAGCCTGATGCAGGGCTCTATCCCAGGACCCTGAGATCATGACCTGAGCTGAAGGCAGAGGCTTTAACCCACTGAGCCACCCAGGCACCCCGAAACTTTTTTTTTTTAAAGATTTTATTTATTTGACAGAGATCACAAGTAGGCAGAGAGGCAGGCAGAGAGAAGGGGGGGTGCAGGCTCCCCGCTGAGCAGAAAGCCCGATGTGGAGCTTGATCCCAGGACCCTGGGATCATGACCCGAGCCGAAGGTAGAGGCCTTAACCCACTGAGCTACCCGGGTGCCCCACACCCCGAAACTTCTGGTAACATTATTCGCATTCGTGATTTCACCTTGCTGATGATTCTGGATCTGTAGCTCTGCCCAGCTCTTTCTGTAGACCTTTATGTTAATACATCCAAATGACCATTGGTTGTCTCTCTTGTGATGTCACAGAGACCTCAATTTCAACTTGTTCAAAACCACTTTTAATTATTTCCCCAGCTTCATCCTGTGGTCTCAGTCCCTGTTCCCACACCCCCTTCTCTGAATGGCACCATCCTGCTGCCCAAGACAGAAAACAGCATTTTTCCCTACCCACTCTGTCTCCATCTTACCAGTTTTACCATTCTGCCCCCCAAATATCTCCTGAAACCATCGCATTCTCTCTACCTCATGGCCAATATCTTCCATCGTTTCTAGGTTACATTGCTACAGCTGACTTAAGTCTAGGTTGTCACTTTTTTTTTTTTTTAAGATTTTATTTATTTGACAGAGAGGGAGAGAGGGAGAGAGAGCACAAGTCGGGGAGGGGTAGAGGGAGAAGCACCCTCCCTGCTGAGCAGAGAGCCCCATGCGGGGCTCAATTCAAGGACCCCAAGGTCTTGACCAGAGCCCAACGCAGACACTTGAGGGAATGAGCCATCCAGGTGCCCCATTTGTCACTAATTCTTCTAAAACAAGAATTTGATCTAACAAGTCAAGTAACAATTTCCTGGCTTAAGAATCCTTCGTTACGGGCGCCTGGGTGGCTCAGTGGGTTAAGCCGATGCCTTCGGCTCAGGTCATGACCTCAGGGTCCTGGGATAGAGCCCTGCATCAGGCTCTCTGCTCAGCGGGGAGCCTGCTTCCCCCCCTCCTCTCTCTCTGCCTGCCTCTCTGCCTACTTGTGATCTCTCTGTCAAATAAATAAATAAAATCTTAAAAAAAATCCTTCGTTAGCTCCTTTGTTGGGCTCAACACTGTAGAAAGCGCCTATGGAGTTTTCTAAACACACAGATGGCTGATTCCACTCCAAATCTGATGAGTAACAATAATAACTGATGTTTACTTATATGTCAGGCATCGCCCTAAATGCTTTGTCATAATTTTCTCACTTCATCCTCACAACTTCATGAGTTGGTATTACTC